ATAGCAACAACCTAGCTTTTAAATATTAGCTTTGTAGAACATTTCTACATATCTTTCACACCACTTGCTCATGGCCTGCTCAGTTTGATTACTTAAAAAGCACATTAAAAAAAATAAATAAATAATAAAATAAAAGAGAGAATAAATTCTGCATGAGAATTCTGAAAGTAGCTTCTTAGGGGTGTTTGAGACATATGCTATTTACTTTTTATCTAGTTCTGACAGTAATTTGACTGGGGTGAGAATTAGTATAAATAGAATGTAGAATATAAATAGAAAACTATGAATTAAAAATACACTGGCAAAGGCACTATTTCTATGGGCTACCTATTTTCCTTAACTCTTCAATTTTAGTTTGGATTTAGTATAGCCAGGAAACTGTGTATGAGTCCATAGCGGACTCAGTTCTTACTGTGGGAGTCGTCGTTCCTCTATTTCATTCTTTCAGTAGGAGGCTAAAGATATTTCCATATTCATCCTGGGAAATATAAAGCATTATAAATTTCAGGTGCCTTCCTTAGTAATTGAGAGGAGACAGCTAGTAACCAGATCCAGCCATCTATACAGAGTCCTTCTGATTCTAGAAAGTTAGTGCCTGCTTTTAAAAATTTCATACAAGAAAAAAAAAAAAAGTAACACGCAAATATTTACTAACTAGATTTTTGACTTCCTTCATTTAAGCAGCTATAGCCTCAAAAAATCAGACAATCTGTTTCTTGTCTGCTTCTTCAGCATAACCCTATTAAATGCCCTAGCCAGCATCTTTTCTTCTGTTTAAGGTTTTTTCATAACCACATGGGTTCTCCAATATTATTTGAATGTCTTTTTGATGTGCCTGTTACTTTCATAGTTAGTATAAATTCTTCACATTCCACAGTCGTAAGGAGATTGAAGCTTGTAAGTTTAGTAATTTACAAGCTTGCAATGAATTCAGTTTCCTATTCCTCAGTAAAATTCATATCCTGTAATCAGGTCCCTTATCTAACCAATGGGAAATATTGGTACAGGTAAGATTTTGTGCCTTTTAATCATAAATGTGCTCTAGTACATGCCTGACCTGCAAGAGTGTAACATGGATAAACTCAACAATTTGGTAATCTGAGAAGAAGAAAAACAATTAACATTCACTTTTGGTATAAAATGGATTTTTAAAAATGCAATTAGGAAACTGGTTAATCTAGCAGTGACAGTGATATAGATGTTGCCCTTGAAATGATCTTAGAGTGAGAAACATTTAAAGAAAGTTAACAGGTTATGGTACTTAGATGGGAAGGAAATAGATGCTCTCCAAGGAAGTGATACATAAGTGACACATATCATTGCTGTGTGACCTATGTGTTCTTTTCCACCCCTTTTATGTGCAGTTCTATGGTAAAAATAATGTTAAGAGATGCAAAATATATGTAATTGACTAACTGTTTTTGCTGCTTTTCTTATATTAAGTAATTAAAGCATAATAACATTTCTTTATTACTTCCACACATTCAACTTGAACAATCATTGCAAGGAAGCTTTCAAAGCAACTGTCATAGCAGAAATTAATTTTGCATGAATTATAGAGAATTAATGGCGGTGCGCTTTGATTATAAATTAAACTTTTTGTTTACAATTAAATAGAAATTCAGGAAATAAATTATACCACAAAACAACCTGTGATACCTTGCTGTTCCTACAGGTATTACAGGCAAGGCCAAAATTCAGCAAGGTGCATTTATGAGTTATTGGACCACACTTCACCTGTGAATTCAACTTTATGTCTTTCCAGTTTCCTAGTGAGCAACATCAGGTAATAGAGGAAGGACAAAGACAATGATCCAGATCTCTCCAAGAAAACCAAACCCCAAAATAGCCAGTAATGTCTAAAAGACACAGTATCATATCTGAAGAAGTGCTGCAGAAAATAGCCCTGCTTAGTTTTCTAGCACTTGTGCCAAAATTGAGTCAGCCAATTATAATTCACAGAGCTGTAATCTCTGTTTAGCTCTGCTAATGTTTGCTGTCAGTATGGTGTCTTTGGCTGCAGAGCAGCTTTTAAGAAGCACTGAACCACCTTATTTTAGACCAATTATCTTGTTCTGTACCCACATGGCAACCCTGCTGGTGTGAAATTTCAGGATAACAAGAGAAAAGAAAAGAAAGAAGTGAGGTAAGTTGCCTCCTGTTGAAACCACAGCCCACAGATACCTTTTTACATTGCATTTCAGTCTCATTAAAAAATAAATAAATAAATAAATAAATAAATAAATCTGTATCCTGTTAAACCAGTGGTCTTTTTTTTTCCTCAGTCAGCTTACTACAACTGAGTAATACAATGCATTTCACAACACAAAGTCCAGTTAACAAGCAATTAAAGAAACTTTGATTAATCTCCACTGCTGTGATACCTGATTAGCTAGTTTTTGAAGGCTGAAACAGCTCTTTTTAGTACCTTTTATTTTTCTTTTTTCTCTTAGTAGGTATTGTTGCATGGCATGAAACACATGTAGAATTTATCATGGTTAATTTGCATTTAAATCCCTTGAAGAGATACTCATAAGATTATTTTTTTTCTGTGTTAGGAATTGTTTCCTAACACAAAAAGGCATTTCTTTGCCAACAGAACAATAATTGTGTTCCTTTTCCTTCTACCATGCAATTAAAACAGGTTATTACCAAATCAATACCCATTTCACAAAATGCATCCCTTGAATGTCTCTTTTGTCTTCCTCATCTAACGAGTCTGACCTGTGTATTTATTTTGCTTGTGCCTCTGCAGTAAAACAGTAAAAAAAGCTAGATTCTAAAACAAAACAAAGCTCAAGCACAATCTCTTAAGCACAGCTTCAGGTTTGAAAATGAATAGAGCATATGCCAATCTGCCTCAAATACTACAGAGTGCTAAGGGCTTTATTGTCTTTACAGAGATGTTACAGAACATGAAATAAGTATCTAGAAGACTTTTTGATTTGAACAGGAATATAGAAATATGAGCAAGTCATTGAACTCATAGTCCAACACAGTATGAAGACTAGTAACCATTTTGTAAACTACACAGGTTTTTTATTAGTATTTACAGGAATTACTCCATTTCTCTATCATGTTATATTTATTTCTCTCCATCATCTGAAATTCACTAAGTATTGCAAAAGGTTAAAAAAGAGTCAGGTAACTGTTTATTAAAAATGACAGCACATAATGAATGCTACTTGTCCTGTACTCTTCCTTCCTTTCTTTCTCCTAGCTATCCTGTGAGGAGTGCTGGAATATGGACTTCTGAGAAGAATTGTTGAAGAGCACTGAGGTGGGTATACATGGACCTGCACTGAAGGAGTAGGTACATGCAGCTATGAACTGCATGAACAGGAGGACCTGCAATAGAAAATAAATTATGTTAACTAGCAAAGGCAGAAATGAGAAGGAATGAGAAGAAATGAGAAAAATGAGGCAAATGCCAATCTGAAATGTTGATTGTGAACTTGCAGCTCATGCAGAGGAAAAGAAGGACAAGTGAGCCTAAGAAGTAGGACTTGGTCAAGGATACTGGCACAGGAAGTGACTTTGCCATAGCATTTACAAAAGCTGAAAACAAAAGGAGGTAGAAAGGGAGATATGTAAACAGTTAAAAAAGAAACACTGACAAACTTTTTAGAAGTGGAAACAGAGAAAAGTGCATAATCTTTAAACATACTCTAAAGAAAACTAAAATGAAAAAAATCTGGGCATTCTACAGTCTTTTCTTTATCTTCTGATTTCAATTATTTAAGACTTCACAATGTGTTACAATCCTGGCCAATAAACATTGAAAATTCCAAGTCCTAACACTGGTTAAGGAAAAAAGTAGGGTGTGAGAGTAGGGTATTTTTGCTTTTGTTGTAGATTTTTTTTTTCAGTTGCCTTGATTAGATAAGATAACCAGGCTGTAGGTTTTTAATATGCATGTAAATACTGATATAAGGTATTCATGCTGTCATGTAAGATATTCCGTTACCTTAACAAATGCTTGTATACAACCTAAGTGTGAGCATTGATCTGATTTCCTTACTTAAAGAAAGCCATTTATTTACATATTTAATGAGAAAGCTTAAGCTTGAAGCTTAAGAAAGCACAATTGTTTAACTCTGCCCTAAAAAAGGCCCCAAATATACAGGTATTTAATATGATGAAAAATACATATTTTTGTGTGATAAAATTGGTGTTTTTTTGCTTAGGTGGCAAATAGTACAGAAAATCAGAGAATTCCTTGTCTCTAGAGATTTTGCTATTTTGCTATTACCGAGACCTTCTTTCTTTGATGAATTTCTGATATTTATGCTCAGCATTTGCATTTACTCTGGGATGTCTTCCCTGTTTACCCAGAGGAGAAAATAAACTACTTAAAATCTCTTTGTTGTTGATTGAAAGATTATCTTCCTGTCTCCTGATACACACCTTGGGTAGGTCTGCTGTGCATATGCACACTCAAATAATTTCACAGGTATGAATCTATGAATCATTATCATGGATATTTTTGCACTTCATAGTATTATAACTGTTTCTTGTTGTTGTTTTTTAAATCAGAAATTATTAGAGCATTTAAACAAAAGGTTTTCTTGAGAGAACATACTAGATTACATTAAAAAAAAAAAAAAGATTTTTTTTCAGCTAAAGGTTAGAAAGCCATACGCAAAGTAGCAAGGATCCTTCATTGCTAGATATCCAGATCCCGGTCTACATTTTGCAATTCTTTCAGAGTAAATATTATCTACACTGGGGAAGAAATTCCCCTGTGTGTTTTAAGTCACATTTCCAAAGGCTTTGTCTTCACCTCTAAGCACAACAGAAAAATTCTTGCAACTCTGTGAAGTTTTTTTTCGGGAAAAGAAAATTGCTTCCTCCCCAGCTGTATTGGGAACTTGAGGCATCTAGCTGATACTATCTCATCTGTTTCTGTGTTTGGCCATCACAAGTAAAATCAGCTGGTATAAATCAGCATATAGCCTTACTTCACAGGTCAAGTGAATAGAGACTGGAACTTGCCTTTGGTGCTCTCAGTTCTCAGCAATGTGGCCATAAGAAAAATAGACAAATTCTGTCACACAGAGATGTGTAACTATAGATCATTTCAAATCCACTCCACCACTGTGATGTTGCAGAAGGCCAGAGGAAATGTATGCTATGCATGTTTAGTCATCTTTGTCAAAGATTCTGCAGAATACAAAGGAATAAAATAAAGTGAAAAAAATCCTACTTATTCAGTAGATAAGAAAATGTCAAAAATGTTGAAAAATGCCTTAGCAGCACAAACAAGAAAAAATAAATTTTACTAACACTTTAATAGTATTAATAAATTAATACAAACTCAAAAAAGTATCTTTTTTGTTGTCTTAAACTCACTTGAACACATGTGGAATCAATAAATGGATAATAATATCAAAATAAAATATGATGAAGGCAAGTAACAATGAAAATTATACACAGAGACTGACCTGTGTTGAGTGTAACTCACATGAAAACAGGAAGGGTATAGCTCAGAATGATTTAAACTTGCAAAATGTGTCAATAACTAAAATAACTGGGATTGATGTGCTTATGCATTCAAAATACAGATAAAAACAAGTAAAGCTTGTACAGACCATTGGAGAGCTTCTTGAAAATCTAGGCTGATGACATACGTTAGCCAATACAGGGAAACCATGTATATGTTTCTAACTCTACTCAAAATGCATAAAATGCTTGGAATAACATGTCATAGGTCATAGAGTAATATAGGTTCAAAGGCACTTCTGGACAACCCAACTACAAGCAGGGTGGTATATATATCTTTTGTGTTTATAATGTTCTGTATATATATATCTAATGTTCTGTATATATATATCTTTTATGTGCACTATTGCACTAGAAAGTGCTCTGGGATGCATCCCCACAAAAGAAAGCTTGAATTAAGACAAGCAAAAGCTTGGTTCTTACTGAAGCGGTATACTCTCAAGTTATCAATCTTGAATGTTACCTTACAGATTGGCTCTGTGCAATATATACCTGTTACAGGTAGTAGTCCATGATTTTAGAGAGCCACAACGAAGCCATCACTCAGCACAGCCCCACCATTCAGCAAAGGCAGGACTATTTGTGATGACCAGAATAGCTGGATAAATCCATTCTCTATTGCCCTGCATGGAGAACAGTGGCACAGGTAGTCAGGACCCTTGACATGAAGAACTTTATGAATCAATTTAAGAGTGTAAATTGCAGTTTACTATCTTATAAGCAAGACGAGGTTAATCCCCACCTAAAAGTTGTCAAAGTACAGTTTCTTTAAATAAAAAAAAGTAAACCAAAAATGATTCTCTTGCTCTTTTTAAGCAATTATATTTTCCATTCAACTGTCACTATAAAATGGGGCAACATTATTATATGTTCTGAAATGATAATTGCACCTGTTTTTTTTTTTCATTGTAAATGAATAAGCAGTATCTAGCATATATTTGATATAAAAAGAAAGCTCAGTGATTCTCTATCTACTCATAATATAATGATTCCAGTAAAAAAAAATAAAAAATCCCTAGTAATACATTTGTAAATTAAGGTCAGTTGCTTAATCAAAAGCTGTGTTTTCTTTTTTCCCAAAGATATAGCTGAATCAGCCTTTCTTCTTTATAACAATTACTGCCATTTATATTCTTCTGTATCATTAGTGAAAACATGTTCAGTTCAGTTGGTTGGAACATTCTTTTTGGGTAAGATACATCAACAAGTTTTCAGGGAATAACAGTAAACAAGAATAATAATTTATTCTAAGCTGTGATTGAGCACTGAGTTAGTGCTGTAAAAGACCTTGCTGAAGGTCTCCCTTTTGGGAAAAGTTTAGATGAAAATGCAGCTTTTTAAAGGAGGACATTTCATCTGCATCATTTACTTACCAGGCCAAAATACTGATGGTAACATACAAACAAGTCAGGTTCAAAAGGGGTATTCCCCCCTCCTCCCCCCTCCTCCCCCCTCCTCCCCCCCCCCCCCTCAAAAAAAAAAAAAAAGGCATAAAAAGCATTGCAATTTACCCATTGCTGTATACTGAAACATGGAAGAAAACAGATACTAGATCTAGGAATCCAACTAGAATAGGAGTTATCAGCAGAAATTAACAAGAAAAAAGACAAAGTTCCAAAATTTCAAGCTGTTCTTTCTACCCCTTAGAGTTTTGCTCATTGGTTAGTTACTCTACAATTTGCTCTGAATACCTTATTTCACTACATAGGTACACTTTAATCATTCTTATTTTAAATAGCAATCAGAATAAAAATGATGTCAAACATTAGTGGTGCAAGTATTTTCAAATCACAACCATCTAATGAAATTTAAAGCTAAAATATTTTTCACAAATATTGCAAAACAGTCAGTTTATTTGCTAACATAGCATTGAGAACACGTATATGTTCCTGTATTAAAATAAATAAATATATTCATGTTTTGCCTTTTTTTCTGCTCTGCTAAGTTCCTGCATGCCTCTCTCATCTCTCTCTCTCCTCCATACACATATACACACAAAATATAAAACCGCTATAAGTGAAGTCTCAACTCAATTTGAATTTAGTAATATTCATAAAAGGAATACTTATAAAAGGTATAAAAGGCAAGTAAACAGCGCTGGGTGTGTGAGGAGTCTACACTCCACCAACACGCACACACGAACATTGAACCTTCTAAACATACAGAACATTGCTTTTACATACTAAACCCAAGTATGCCTATACATATATACAATCAGAAAAGGTAACAAACAATCCTTTAAGTTCATGTTATCATCAACCATGGGGCTTTACGACCCCCATGGCCACATTCCCAAATCTCCCCCTTCTTTATTAACATCAGCTGTCTTCTCAACACAAATTACCACTCCATATATAACAAAGCCAAGAAAGCAAATCAATGCTCAGAAAACCTTTCTTATTTTTATACCTCTAGAACTATTTTTACTCAAAATTTTAATCCAGAGAAGAAATATTAACATTGACAAAGTGAATGAACATATTAACCCTATCTCCTTATCTTCTCCTTCTGCTCATTTTCAGAAGCACACCTTAATCATCGTTTAAGTATCCTTTCAGAAGTACCTCAGTCCTTGCTCTGGGATGCTGTTTTCCATTACAGCACTTTGATGCCTGATTCTTCCAGGAGAACCTGACTCAGTGTAGTAATTTAGCAGAAGTGTAACTGCATACTCTAATATATCCCCTTAACTGTATTGTTGTACTGATGCTTTCCATATGTGCTTAATCTAGGAGGTAAAACTGAGACCTGGGGAATTCTGCTGGTCCCATAAAATGCTAGTGACAAGACAAATTATATCATCTACAATGTAAAGCTACACCTCATCAGTTGATGTCTTTGCTGCTGATATTATCCCCTGGATATAAAGCAAACTATCAAAGACAATTTGGAATGAAAAAAAAAAAAAAAAAAAAGCACAAAAGCACAAGGGGAAAGTTGTATTGCCAGTATTTCTTCTGTTCTCCTAGTTCATTGTTATATGTGGAGTGGTAATTTGTGTCGAGAAGATGGTTGATATTAATGAAGAAGGGGAAGATGTGGGAGTGTGGCCATGGGGGTTGGCAAGCCCCATGGATGATGATAACATCAGACTCTTAACGACGAGGCCATCAGGAATGTAAAAGAGTTTAGAGGAAACAAATAAGGGTGATTCAGGAGATGCCATGCAGTCTCGGGTTGCTTGTTCTCCAGCCGTCAAGGCATGGAAGTTTCTGGGTGTTTGCTGTTGCTGTTACATGCAAAGTTGTTTGACCAATGACAAGTCGTTTTTGAAAAGGACTGCTGTGGGGCGAGGGGTATACGAGGGGAGCCTGTCCTCAAGATGAAAAAAAAAAAAAAAAGGCAACACAATGAAGTTATGTGATCAATAAAGAAGCAGAAAGAAGGAATGAAAAGGAACAGGCTAGCAGAACGGAGACCAGGATGGGAACAGGCACATTGATTGCCTCATGAAGACAGGTTCGGCCAAACTCAGCAAACCGCTCAAAGAAGCTCGTACTGAAAGTCGCTGGAAACAGGCACACCAGAGGTAAGAAGAAGCTCGAGCTGAGAGAAGCGGACCCGCACACACAACTGCCCCTCGCTGGTAAGCAGCTGGGCATTATGGGGAATCATACATCCTTAGGAACAAAGACTGTCCTGGTAACCTTACGGCTTATTCTCCTTATTAACAATCAGTTTATGATCCTGAAACATGGGACCAAATTGAGGTCAAGGTGTGGGACTCTGCAACTGAAAACGACAAGGTTGCAGTGGGATTGCTCGGCACCTGGCGAGCAGTCTCTGAGGCCTTAAAGAGCCATGTGGGACCACAGTCAGATATGTGTGGTTTACCAGACAGTGAGGGAACTGTGGGCTCGTTTACTGATCCTTCTGGTACACCATCAGCTCCCCCACCGCTACTGCCATCACAGGCCTTTGCTGTTCCGCCCACTGGTGGCCTGGACATGCCTTTTGGCCCAGGCCCTATTGGCATTGAAAAGGAGACATGTTTCCCTTCGATCCAGGAAGAGTGGGATGCATGAGGGCCGAAGGCTGAGTTGCTTGAGACATATTGGTCCCACGACTAGCTGTGAAATTCTCCGGTGTTTGTAATCAAAAAAAGGAATGGAAAATGGAGACTGTTATAAGTCATGGAAGATATGGGAGCACTTCAACCAGGCCAACTATGCTCCCCCAGTCATGGACATTGATAGTAATAGACATAAAGGATTGTTTGTTACCTTTTCTGATAGTACATATGTATAGGTGTACTCGGGTTTAGTATGTAAAGCAATGTTCTGTATATTTAGAATGTTTGATGTTTGTGTATGCGTGTTGATGGAGCATAGACTCCCCGCACACCCAGCGCTGTTTAGTTACCTTTTATAAATATTCCTTTCATAAATATTACTAAATTCAGATTGAGTTGAGACTCTTTTTGAAAGCATTGGTGTAGTAATTTCACTCTAATGGGCAGCTGATCACAATGTCTCTCTCACCTCCCCTCCTCAAAGGAAGAGGAGGAGAAAATAGAATGAAAAAGGGTTAAAGGCTTGCAATAAGGACGGGGAGTTCCCTAACCAATTACCACTATGGGCAAAATGGATTCAGTCTAAAGAGATTAATATAATTTATTGCCTATTACCAACAGAATAGAGCAGTGAGAAACTAAAAGCAGACTAAAAACACCTTCCCCCCATCCACCTTCTTCTGCCACCACCCTGCAAGCAGTGCAGGGGAACGGGGACTGGTCACTCCCTGACGCTTCGTCTCCGCCGCTGCTTCACGGTCACTCTACCCTGCTCCACGCAGGGTCCCTCCTGAACTAAGCCTGCGGGGGCTGCCCACAGGCAGCAGCTCTTCAAGAACTGCTCCCACATGGCTCCACACCACAGGGTCCATCCCCCAGGAGCAAACTGCTCCAGCACAGGTGCGCCATGGGCAGCAGATCCCCCCAGGCCCCCTGCTCCTCCGGGTGCTCTCCATGGGCCACAGCCTCCTCCAGGCCACAGCCACCTGTTCCACCGGGGCTCTTCCATGGGCTGCAGCGTGGAGATCTGCTCCATGTGGGACCCGTGGGCAGCGGGGGGACAGCAGGCTCCACAAGGGGCCTCTCCACAGGCCACAGGGGAACTTCTGGCTGCCAGAGCACCTTTTACCCCTCCTTCTGCACTGACCTTGGGGGTCTGTAGGACTGCTTCTCACTCTTCTCTCCCAGCTGCTGTTGCTCTCCCAGAGGCCCAAACAGCATTGCTCACTGGCTTGATTGTGACCTGTGGTGGGTCCCTTTGTAGCCGCCTGAAGCTGGCGCTGATCTAACATGGGGCAGCTGCTGGACTCTGCTCACTTTGGCCACCCCTGCAGCCCCCTGGCTACCAAAACTTGTCGTATAAACCCAATACATTTATCCAAAACTTCTAATTATAGTACCTTGAGGAAATTATCATAATTAGAAAGAAATAATAGCCAAAACATAAAACCGAAATTTTATGTTAGTAATTTGGCTATGCAGCTTGTTAATCAATATAAATAATCATAAAATTTAAATGTACAGATTCTGCATCAGTCAGACACAATTTGCTACAGCTGTTGCCTAAAATTTATGCAAGCTAACAAGTAGCTCCTGACTAGAGATGGAAAGCCTTACAGTGGAAGAACTTATAAATTTTGATCTCTGAGTTGAGTGTAACTCTGAAATAAAATTTACAGCTCTGCGCTGCACTAGGTCACCTTTCTTTCTGGTTAAAAATCAAGTTCAAAAGAATAAACTATATCCTCTTATTCCTTCTCTATGCATGTGTTGGATAAAATATAGTATAATACAGTAAATACAGAGCCAAGGTTTATAATAATTTATCTGCAATTACGTCTGCTGAATTATGATGTGGTCTTTGCTTTTATATAAGCATGTGGATACACATATGTGAATACTATCATCTTCATGATTAATGAGACACCACCTAGAAGGCCACCATATTGCTGCTCTTTTTAAGAGGTTATTAAAATAGCAAACACTTAAAAATAGATAATTAAACCAAAATTGTCTGTGTCCTAGCTCCTCTCCATTACCTTTGCAGAGCTTACAGAAAGTGACTATTTTTTTTCTAATTATTCCTAAGATAAAAGTGTAAATGTCAGTCATTGTTCTCTTCTCTAAAACTATGTAATTGTACCATGTATATTAAAACATACAGGCTATATTACATACTCAGGTCAGAATTACAAAATCATTCCATGACAATTATGCATATTTTTGTAAAGTCAATAGAAATCATGGGACTATTTGACCTGATTTTCAAACATAGTTTCTCTCTTAATTAATTCCTATTTAAAAGAATGTAACTTATTACCAAAAAAAAAAAAAAAAAAAAGTTTTTTTTTTTTGTTGTTTTAGTTTATTGGTTAATAATCTGTAAGAATCTCTAAGGGATCGACTCGTTATATAATGGAGGAACTTGTCTTCAGTTTAAAGTGACTGTTTTTTGATATTTCTTTTTCTCTTCTGTCTACCCCCTAATATCAAATAGGGAAATGCTTAAGTTATCTATTCATATAAGATTTAAGTGCCTAAAATGGAACTTAGCATTTGGTCCATTCTGGACCAAGTCCAGAAGGCAGAAATTACACC